GAGAGACGCGACGGAAGGGTTGGGGGCCCCGGGACCTTCAGCAAGTTATCCGGGGCGAAGAACCGGTCCCCAGGAAGAGGTCCAGAGCTCCCGGGACGCCGCATTGAACACACCGAAACATGTGGGAGGGGGAGGAGGAGGAGGAGAAAGGAGGAAAATGAGGGAGGAGGAGAAATGAGGGGAAGGAGGTAGGTGGGGGAGGAGGAGAAAGGAGGAAAAGGAGGAAGAGGAGGAGGAAGGGAGGAGGAAGAGGAGGAGGAAGGCGACCAGGCGGAAGAGCAGGAGGAGGAGATGAGGAGGGACGAAAGAGGAGGAGGAGGACAAGGACAAGGACAAGGAGGAGGAGGAGGAGGAGGAGGAGTACAGTGGGCCCACGGTCAGACAGGGCTCCCACCCACCCACCCTGGTTTTCTCACCCACTGCGATCGCACATGCCACATTTGACCGCATGGGTGGAACAGCATTTTTCCAAACCGACGGACTGCGCTCTCACATGCATCTCCTTCGTGGTGGCCTTAATCACCAGCTGCGAGCTGGGTTCTCGGATGCGACAGTACGAAGAGCAAATTATCCACCGGTCCTGAGGGAACCCTCACCCAACCTTCACACCCTTCCGGCTCCACCTCCACCCGTATGCTCCGCTCTCCCCGCCTTTCACCCACCGAACCTACTCCTTCCCAGTCGTGTGGCGGCGGGATGGGTTTGGGGACACATCGGTAGTGAAGAGGAATCGGAACTGGCCGCGGGCTGCCTGGGCGATGGTCAAGGCGGCCGCAGGCACCAACGCTTCGCCAGACAACAGTCTCTCACCCACCTCCCGCGGGCGCTTGCCCCAATTTCTCTATTACTGCCTTCGCCGCACCCAGCCAACTCCTTTGCCCGCGACCGTCAATGGCAACTCGGCGCAGCTACCATGGCGACCGCCACGGCGTCCCAGCTAACCACTTTAGGCAAACAGTGTTGCCAGCAGCGTAGGACAGTACAGCCCCTTCCTACCAGGCCTACAAGATCTAGTCCTTCCTACTCGTGCGGCGGCGGGATGGGTGGGGGGATCATTAATTCTACGGGGGCGGAGTGGGAGGTCGAAAATACAGCTGATTGACCTGGCGGGGGCCAGGGTAGCCGCGGCAACCAGCACCGGCAACCCGCGCCGCATTACTTCGCAGCCTGGCCAAACTTGTCTTTGCAGCGCCACCTTTTCCGCTCCATTGCTCACGTGCCCCGCGGCTCCCGAGGCCAGCCTCTCCCCCTGTCGCCGTGGCATTGCACTTAAACTTAGCTCTACCCCACTACCGCCAGCCAGAACATTCCGCCAACCAGTTGGTGGGTGTGGTGGGTCTTGAATGGTGCGCGGATTGGGGGGGCGAAGCAACCGTCGGCGATCGCTGCGGTTGCCGAGACTACCGCGGGTAACGGCCACACCACAACAGATCCGTCGGCTGTCGCGGCGTTGGCCGAGACCGCCGCGGGTAGCGCCACAGCGCGACCAGCCAGCTGCGTTCACCGCGTTACCTATCAGCTCGCAGTTTACGCAGTGGTCGCGACATTGGTTTGCATAGAATTCCACAGGGTGAACGAGGTGCCGCACCGTGCTTCCACTCCCTGACGCTGCCCAGTTTTAACCGCGCACGCACCTCGAGGCCCCTGAGAGGTCAGGGCTAGCCGCTGGCCGCACTGGCGTTGACCAGGCCGGCCACGGCCACTAGCTGCCACTGCCTACGGCGCAGCCATTCACCCAGCTCTCAGCCGCTCATTGGCGCAATAATTAGTTGGTTGGGGGCGCGTAGCAGGTGGTGTAGGGGGAGGGGAGGGGGGGGGGGGGGGGGGGGGGCAAAACTCCACGGCCAATGCTTTGGAAAGCGCAAAACACCCTAACACCCGGTGGAACCCCCATGGCGGCCACCAGTTCATCGTTCGGGAAATCTTCGCCTGCTGCGCAGGCCCGCCTTCCTACGGGGTTCTTACGGGCAGGGGGAGGGGCCTTGAGCATTCACACCTCTGGCGAGTGTGGCACACCGTGGCCGTGACCTGCCAGTTTCACCACAGGCTTCACCGTGTGCAACTGTTGCACAGCGCTATCAAAATGACCGAAGCCCCCAGCGCCGCAGGATTGTGCTTTGCCGTCCGTCAGTATTCCTACTTTCCCAATTCCTTGATGTGTTTTTCTGCGTGTACCTCCTCTACTTCCTATCCCCGCCCCCCGCCCCCACCATGGCGCGCAGGGGGAAGTAGCTACCCCCCCTGGCCGCTTCCCTTTTTTCTTTTCGAAGATACCACAGTTCACCCCCCCCCTAGGGGCGTCCGACCCTGGAGGAGGTGATGCCATCGGCTGCCAGACACTCATGCCATCAGACACTCATGACACTCATGCCATCATGCACAGGACGACAAGGAGGATAGACAGGAGCAGGAGGAGGGGGAAGTGAAACCCGACGTTCAGAATCTGAATATTGGGCAGGCCGAGATGGGCAGCCGCGTACATACTTTGAGGAAGGACGGTGGGCCTACAGCGACAAACTGGGTGCCGACCCGCCTCGCCCTTCTGGGGGTCCGCCCCTGCTTCACGCCGCGGACACGGACGACGCCACGCGCCTCGAGGCCACAGGGATGACCACGAAACTGAAGACCAGCCTCGACCCGCATGTCCAGTCCCGCATTCGCGAATTTAAGGTCTCAGGTCCCCGCAGCTACACAGTCGAAGTACCCGTATCCAGCGAGCGCACGACACATGTGAAGGCAACATTACGCGGAATGATATTTCGGTGGTGAGCACGTATCGAGCGTCATTCCAGTAGCGAAGCGAGGCGAAGCATGGTTGCCAAATCTCTGGACTGCTCGAAAGACGCGTTTGCAGACACGGCTCACAACGGCGACTCCGGTCTCCAGGCGACGAAGTGTAAGTGGTTACCACGAGGGAGGGGCCCATAGGGATTCCCAAGTTATAGTTCTTTGCGCACCGTGGCGGGGAAGGGCATCGCGCATCGAGGCCAGACTAGGGTGAATCCGGCGGGATGACCCTGCAGGAGGGCAGTAGTACCTTCAAGCTCATATCGCCACCCTTGACACCACCAGGGGGACCGCCATTGAATTCGAACATTGGGCGGTGCTCGGTTACGAGTTTCAACACGCATAAGAAATATCCCTGCGAGACCTTTAGAATCATCCTGAGCCTGCGGAAGCGGGCGCCGCAGCAAGCATTGCAATGGAATTGTGATGGGCATGGCCCCGTTGAGGGATTCATTATTTCTGAATGTTCATGTCATTATGCTGAAGGATATGTAACGCCACACGGGAGGAGACACTGCGATATCTCCGCGATTGCACACACATCCTTGGAAGGCGTGTGTCAGCGGTTGCGGGTTTGGACGCAAGTGTGAACTGACCGTCAGATATGCGACGGGCAGCTCATGTCCTATGCCGCAGCACGATTGTCTCTCAGCAGCGCGTGCTGGGATGGATGGGGGCTTTGGGCCTGAGAGTTTTGAATCAGTCACCTGATATAGGTGGTACCGACCTGTGCCCAGCATATGTTTGGACATGTGAGATGCATTGGTGCCTGGTGCATCGATCGAATATGGTTTTGTTGCAGCATCCAGTTGTTGACGGCAATTCCGCCACCGTGCCAACGAAGCATTTGGGTGGCAACTATTTGAGAATTCAAGGTGGCCTGCTGGGGGCTTTTTGGGGCAGGACCTCGAATTATTGGTCTGTGTTCTCACTTTTGAGCCCTTCTTGGAGCCGACTTGGGGTGCTCTTGGGCGCCTCTTGGGCCGTCTTGGAGCCCTCTTGGGTTGTTTTGGAACTCTCATCGGGGCCTCTTGAGCCGCCTCGGATGGGTACTCTGGGCCTCTTGGGGCTATCTTGGAGCTTTGGAAGTTCGAAGAGTTTCGACCCCCCAAATCCTTGAAAACTCGTTGGGGAAGCGATGTTGTTTGCCTCTTGGGCCGTCTTTCTTGGAGTTGGGGGGGGCCCTTTTGGCCCTCCTGGGGCCTCCTGAGCCCTCTTGGGGCGGAGGGGTGGCATTGCCGGTTCGTGTTCCTTCTTGGGACCGTCTTGGGGCCTTCATTGGTATTCTTGGGCGCATCTGGGGCCGTTTTGGAGCCCTCCTGGGCCCTCTTGGGGCCTCCTGTGCCATTTTAGGGTGGAAGGGTCGCATTCCCGATTCGTTTTCACTTTCCTTGAGCTCATGGGCCCTCCTTGGGGCCAATTTGGGGCCATCTTGGGCACAGGTTTGAGCGCCTCTGGGACCGTCTTGGAGCCCTCTCGGGCCGTCTCGGAGCCTTCTCTGGGGCCTCTTGAGCCGTCTTGGGGCAGACCTGGTGGCCTCTTGGGTCGTATGGGGGCGTCGGAAGATCGAAAATGGAGGACCCGAAAACTCGAACACCGAACTTCTCAAGGCTTTTGGGAAAGGCTCTTAGGGGCTCTCTTGGGTCGCCTCGACGACCTCGCGGGCCGTCTCGAAGCCATCTTGGGCCGTCTTGAGGCCAAAGTGGCATGTGTTGGAGCGATATCCGGCCGTCCTGGAAGCATCTGAGCCTCGGGGAGAGGATGGCGCACGCAGGTGGGTGCGTCCAGAGAGTGCCAGGGACGTGTTCGGGCGCCGACAGAGCCTCCGAAAGCGGGGCGTTGCGCACCTGGGAATGCGACGAGCAGGGGGGGGTATCACTCGGACGGTTGCAGAAGCCCTGCCAGACAGTTCCTGCATTCTAGCAGGCCTCAATTTGTCATGGGGCACGGTGGCGGATTTCCACAGCCTGGTTGGCCCAGTGAGTTTGCAGGATGTGCCGTCAGAAGGTTCGTTGAGCCGGTATCTTTGCAAGGATATTGGCCAACGCCCTGTCCGAGCAGGGTTCGAGTTCCAAGTCTCGCTGGCGACGTGGGTGGTGGCACTGGCTTTGGTTCCGAGGTTGCCCAGACGGTTCTCCCGGGATGCTGCCACCTCGGGAAAGCTCAAGGAGTGCATGGGAATTTTTGGACATCGGGATTTATGATCGCGATGATTCTGAGGTTTCGCCATAAAGCAGTGGCCCGGAAGCGTGGCCGGCGCAGCTGGTTCAGGGACGGAGAGCGGGCCGTGTTTTCAGCATGGGGGTTCCGGCCACACCGCCGCGCACACTCGTCTCGCAAGATTGCATCATCCTCAAGGGTGGAAGGATGGTGGCTCACAACACGTATTGTTGTTCCCACATTCACCGCAGTCGTCGTTTTCAAAGTTGTCGGCATCTTAGGGAGTGGAGCCGTGCTGTTGGTGAATCTGCGACTCTCGATTCAGCGCCGCTCCTAACTATGTCAACATGTTGCAGCAGTTTCAGGGATGGAGGGGGCCGTGCCCAAACTTCTGTTCCCGACTGAGTGCCAAACATGTGCGGTTTGATTGCGGCAGCTGCAAGGCTACAGCGCAGGTGGTGTTTCAAAATGGGCTCTCGCCTTAGCGCCGCGCACCCCCGCCCAATCAGATTGCAACAGCTGAAAGGATGCAACGCAGGTAGTTTCCAATATGCCCTTCCCGCTTTAGCGCGCACTTTCGTTCTAAAAACCTGCAACCGTGAGAAGAATGGAAGACGACTCTAGCTCAAATTGGGTTTTCGCTTGAGCCTGTAACGTGAAGGACCCGGAGCTTCCACAAATGTAGCGATGCACGTATGTCATCATAGCGTTTTTGCTTGAGGCACCCTCGAAATTCGTGACCAGGTTTTGTAAGCTTGTTGACAGATGCACGGGTTAGGTGGTCCATAGTCGAAAGAGTGAGTTCGACGGAAGTCTTGTTGAACGGTATGATCATGCTTGACGAATGTTTGATTACGCGCCAATAGGATGCAAGGCTGTTCGTTTTCAACATGGGGCCTTCGCCAGCATGGCAGCCCCATTTGCGCTTGGTTTTCAAGGGTGTCGCTTCGTGCACTAAAACGGGATGTTTGTAGGGACGCGTGGGGAAGGAATTGAGACTGGAGGATTAATTGCAGCATCCTTGATGCATCTTGGCTTTATTATGGTTCTCCTTCTCATCCTACTCCTGCGCTCTCCCTCGCCCCCTCCCCCGACGAGATCAACGAAGTCAACGATGATGTCGACGACAACTGCGGCGACGACGACGACGACCAACAGGTGAGTTCGTCATCTTCGGCGGCCGCGGCGACGCGCGCTCCCCGGGCTGCTGCAACGACGCGCAGCGCCCAGACGATCCCGAATCCCCGTTTTCGTCGCGAGCGTCGTCGTCCTCCTCGGGCGTGTTCTTTTCTTCAACCCATCGTCCTTCTCCTCATCCCTTCCTCCTCCTCCTCCTCCTCCTCCTCCTCCTCCTTGCTCTCTCCCCTTCCCGGAGCTGGAACGGTCGCAGGAGCAGTTGCAAAAGAGGAGGGGCTCACCAGCAGGATGGGGCCAGGAGCTGGAATCTATTGGCGACGATGAGGATGCGCACGAGGAGGAGGAGGAGGAGGAGGAGGAGGAGGTGGAGGAGGAAGAGGAGCAGCTACGTGCGAGGTGGCGGACGAAAAGGAGAAGAGAAGAAACGCAGGACGTAGGAACGATGAGAAGAGGTAGGTTGTAGGAGGTGTGCGGTGCAATGTGTGATTTTCCTGGCGGGAGGTGCGACCACGCCATTTGCAGCCAGCCATCCTCCTCCTCCTCCTTCCCCTTTTTGTTCCTTCCGGCTTCCTCATCCTTCCTCATCCTCCTGCTCCTCCTCGTTCTGTTCCTGCCCCTCCGCCTTCTTGTTTATTCTCCTTCCCCGTCTTGTTCCTTCCGGCCTCCTCATCCTTCCTCATCCTCCTGCTCCTCTGCGTTATGTTCCTGCCCCTCCCCCTTGCTGTTCCTCCTTCTCCGCGTCCTTTTGCTCCTTCTCTCGAAGGCGAGTCTGTTGCTCGAGCTGCTGAAGAAACGAGGCCGCTTTCGCTTTCGAATATGGACAACAAACTGGTGAGTGCAAGCATTGCTTGGACCTTGTCCCAGGTCGCCAATGACCGTGTCCAGGGGGGCCAAACGTTGTAAAGGCAGGCAGATCATCGAAAACATGTCTGAGTTTGACGCCAACTTGATGATTGCAGGAGTGCAGGCTCGGCCCTGTTCGACCTCAAGGCTACCTTCCCCAGCAGCAGCCACTACTTTTGTATTGGAAGGTTTGTGGGCATTTGGGAATATTGAATCTATTAATCATAGTACCATGGCTCTGCATGGGAATAGTCGTATGGCTGTGCAGTTCAACAAATCAAGCCCCGTACCTATCCAGTAGTGTCGTGGCATTATATAAGGGTGTCCCCTGAGTCGATCTTGTAGTTCGGAGATTGCAGGAGTTATCGCTTCGAGCCGCCGTCACGAACAACGCGTTCGCTGAATACCTGTCCGCGATGGCCACGGATTTTGTCAGTGTGCCCCCGCGCATTTGTAAGTTTCTGGTGTTGAGCGGGGGCGGTACACAACTGTTTCTGAACCTTCGGAAGTGCCAGCCCGTCTTCCCCGATGCGTGCAACTGCGCCTATGCAGGAAGTCTCTGTCGTGAGGTAGGTATAAGGTCAGGCGAGTCGAGATCTCCAGATGCGGGTGGTGTCCGGGCATTGGGGTAGGGATCGACGCGGCAAGAAAAAATCATGGGCCCCTGTAGTGGCAAAGCTGAAGGACTGGTGCCTCAGAATTAAAGCCATAGGGACTGGCCTCTCCAACAGTGGTGCTTCATACGATACCTATGGGCCCCCAGTGGGCCTGGGCAGTCTGGGTCGCGATGCGCGCGGCCAGCGGCCCAGGCGCGCCCCGCGCGCATGCTTGCTCTCTGGGCAGATGTGGACTCCTAAACGCGTTCCCCCCTCTTTCTGCTCCTCCTCCTCCTTCTCCTCCTCTGCCGTAGCCATTTGGGCTCAAGGATGCGTCTCCCCCGTGGTATAGGGCGGAGACCTTTTGCCGAGGCGGGCAAGGCAGCTCTGCGTGGCAGAGGTTGCCAGTCTCCACTGCGGGGCCTGGGGCCCAACTTCAGCCCCTCTTCCATTCTCGAGGCTGCTCCGCTGGCAGTCGCGCCAGCGGGCGAACTGCGGAGCTTCCAGTTCGCGCCGGGGCGCCTGGAGATGCGCGCTCGCGCGCGCGGGACAGGAGAGACAAGGGCAAGTTCAAGAAAGGCTCCAAGGGCGACCTGGGCGCCCCATCGAGACGATCGAAGCGCGCGGCGGTGTCCCCGACCAGCGCCCCGCCATCGTTTCCTGCCGAGTCGCATCGGCATGCTTGCGCTGCGCGGCCTGCTTCACGTTGCGCTGGGAGGCGGGGGCGGGTCGCGCAGCCCGGTGACCGGGAGCGCGCCGCTGCCGCCGCGGCGACAGCTGTCGTCGGAGAGGGGTGTTTCCGCAGTGGGCCTCGCGGTTTCGAATATGATGAAGCTCTCTTCCAGGCCCTGGACGTCGCCCCCCCCTCGCAGAAGCAAGCGCGCCCCGGCCCCGCCCGTCGCCGCGCTGCTGGCCGCCGGAGGGGGTGCGAAGCGCGGGTCGTCCCATTGGAGGCGCGCGGGTTGCCGACCCCCTGCTTCCAGCGCCACGCTCGGGCCGCCGAGGCTGCTCGGCCTTTGGGTCCGGCGCAGCCGCTGCCCCGAGAGATGATGGCGGAGCCCGTGGACTGGCGGTTCGCAGCGGGCGCCTGGCCGCGATGCTCGCCAACATGAGCGGCAGTGTTTCAGCAGACCCAGCAGGAGTTCGTTCGGGCGGTCGACGCCAACATCGCGGGCCTTGCTCGAGTCGGCGGGCGCCTGGGCAGCATTGAGGAGCGCATGCGGGATTTCGTTCGCCCGCGCCAGGACGTGGGCGACCTGCGCAATGCGATGGGGGCGTTGGCAAGGGCTGCGCCGCGGGGCCTGACGAGCCCCCCTGGCTCGGCGCGCCCCATCGACCCCTCCGCCCTGGCGGTCGCGGCGAAGACGATCGCGCCAAAGCTGGCGGCAGTGGAAGCCCTGCGGCCTCTGCTGGAGGATGCTGAGCTGCAGTCTCTCACGCCCGAGGCCACCTGCCTGGGCGGGGCGGGGGGTGGGGGGGGCGCTTCAAGCTGCGCTGCGCGGGGGCCGCGGGCCTGGCTCAAGAGGCGGATTGGCAGCCCGGGGCTGCCCCGCACGGGCCCCGGCCGCGTGGCGCGAGTTCTCGGCGGCCCTCCCGAACGGCAGTCGGCGGTCGGGTGGACATGGGTTGCAACCAGAGCCAGGTCTCCCACTGCATCCAGCTCAGGAAGGTCCGCAGCAACCTGCAAGGGGGAGGGTCATCGGCGCCTCTCTGTGGACAAGGAACGGTTGCTTCGCGATCGTGGTCAAGCGGGGGCAGCTGCTCGAGCCGCCCATCCCGGCGACTGGCGCCACGCCTGAGGTCTCGTGGAACAATGCGGCGGCCCCTGCGATTGCCACCGGCGATGGAGGCACTGCAGGCGCTGGTGAGACGCGCCTTGGACAACCGAGGCCCAGCAGTGGACTCGTTGACAGACTGTCTCGCGCCTCGGAAGGCGACGGAGATGGACTGCGCCGCGGCGCCTGGGACCGCCGCGCGCTGACGCAGTCTGGCAAGGGAGCCGCCCGAAAGATCAAAAAGAAGCTCAGGCATATCCAGCTGCATTAGATCGGTTCAAAGACGCCGGCGATCCAGGATATCCACTTGTCGGCGCGCGGCGTGGATGTGCTTCCGGAGCGATTAGGGGAACCGCGCGGGCGTTTTACTTCGCGCCTGGCAGGCGGTAGAGAAGACGCGGGAAGCGTTGCGACTGCGGTACCTAACGCAGTGGATGGCTACACCGGCGGCTTCAAATCGGACGAGCTGGTCCCTGGCCACATTCTTCGTCTGAAAGTACCCGTGCAATCATCGGCGCCTGGGCTGGCGCCGGTCAGTTTTGCCCAGTGGAATGCGCGCGGCCATGAGATTGTCTCCGACATGCGACGACGAGCTGCTGCCCGTCTCCGTCTTGACTCGGCTCGGGCCCACAGGCGGCCCCAGTCGCGCCCCGTCTCCATTGTTGGCGATTTGAATTCCGGAGGTTATGACAAACGCGACTCGCTCCTGCGGGGTGGCCAGTGCCCAGCGCAGCACGGACTTGGAGTGGACTTCGCAAGGGCCCATGCCCCCGCTGCCGCCTCGCAGTCGGCGCGCCTCGCACTCCGCCCAAGACGGCGGCAGCGGCGCGGCCTCGCGGCTCCGTCGCTGGCGCGCGCCGCGCGGCGCCGACGTTCTGGCGGCCGCCCCTCGCGACGTGGCCCAGCGACCGCGCGTCGGGGAGATCGCGCCGGGCCAGCCGGGGAAGGCGCCGTTGCGGCGTCGCTCGCCGCCCGGCGAGTTCAAGCACTTCGCGCGGATCACGCAGGCCGCGGCCGAGGAGTTCCTCGTGGCCGAGGGCTGAGCCGGGGGAGCCGCAACCATCGCCTGGCGCCAGCTGGCCCGCGCCTAATGGCGGCAATACTGGCGCCTTGCGTCGCTGGTGACTGCCCGGAGCGAGCGGGCACGCGCGCTGGCGCAGGTTGAGGAGGCGTCGAAGTCCATCATGGCCCTGGACATCGCTCCGTTCCACAGGCGCTGCATCGCAGCCCAGAGGGGGGGGGGGGGCCCAGGGGCGCTCGCGGGTGCCCTGGGGGAATCGGAGGACGCTGCCCGTCGCGCAGCCGCAGGCGCTCCGCTGTCGCGCTAGGCCGCGGGCGCCCCTGAACTCCAGGCGCTACCTGGCCGCCCTGGATGTCGGCGGCTGCGAGCTCGCGGAGACTTCTGACGTCAATTTGGCGCTGCGCCAGCAATGGGGCAAGGTCTTCTGCCCCGCCACCCCGACGGCGACCAGCCAGACACGGGGGGCGGAGCAGGCGAGGTGCCTCGAGCGTTTCGGGGCCCCGACAGTGGATTGGAATGACATCCCGGCGCGAGGCCTTGCGTCGAGCTCGGCCTGCGGCACTTGGGCCTGGCGGCCTTCCTGCCGGGGCCTGGGCGGCGGTGAGTGATGGTGCCCCAGTGCAGTTTGGATCCCTGCTCTGTATGCTAGATGGCCTGCCCATGCGTTCCGGTTGCAATTGTGCGACTGACATCTTCACCCCCGAGGATGCGACGGCGGCGGGTCCTCGCGCTGTCTCGTGGGCCGCGCGGCCGTTCTCGCTCCGCAACATTGGGGCGAAGGCAATCAGCTTCGCCCTGGTTCGGTCGCTCAAGCGCGCGGTGCAAAAGGCTGTGGTCCCTTGACAGCGGGGCTGCATGCGTGTTCGGATTTTCTCGAAGGCCTGTTCGAGCTAGACTGCCATGCTAAGATTGGAAGCACGAGGGCCCCGGATCTTCCGGGGCCCCGCGGAGGCCCGCCCCCCCCCCCCCCCAGCTTGCGCAGGGGCTGGTCTGGAGAGCGCGGCGAACTGAGGTGCTTCGCCCAGCAGCGGCTGCGGCGCTGGTTCCCGAGTAGGTTCGCGGGCCAGCGCCGCCGCCGCGGCCGGCGCCGACGGATTCCGCGAGCGCTCTGAGTGGGCCCATTCTCTCTTCCTTGCCTCTGACAATCCCCGCGCTTTTCCCTCGGTTGCTCAGTCCTGAATCCGGCGTGCCTCGGAGCCCTTGGGGGGGGGGCGGGGCCCGAGGCCCGGCCTGTGGCCGCGGAGGCGAATTGCAGCTTGGCTGCGGCGCCGAGCGCGGACAGCGCTCGCTCCGTTTGGTTTCGGATTCTGGAATCGATCTTTCACGGCGATCTCCTTTCGGGAAATGTTCTCGTTCTGGCTGCGCACCCGCTCCGCGGAAATATGGGGCGGCCCTCCGCGGCTGCTGGGAAAGAGGGGTGGGGGGTTGGCGCGATGACATCGCGGGGGCGGCGGCGCGGGCGAAACCTGGGCGGCGCTCGTTCGCTTGCATTCTTCATGCATCGGAGATGCCCGCGAGAGCGAAGCCTCCGGAATGCTGGGCCCCGTGGTCAATTGAGTTGGAGGCCCAGCTAGTGGAGTTTATCAAACCTGTGCGCCCTGGGTGGGTGTGTTTCGGGTGGACCTTTCGCTGGAGTGCCTGGGGCGCGAGGTTGGGCCCGCGGCTATGGCAGCTTCGCAGTGGGCCGTCCCCTCGGCCAAGCTGGGGGCCCAGGTGCTCGCGGGCCCTCGCTCGCCCGCACGCAGGCGATCTTGCCATGGTGCCTTTGTGCCGCGAGCGAGCGCTCAGTGTCTACTCGTGCAAATCGCAATTCTCCGGGGCCGCAAGCAGTTGCGCCGTCGATGGATGGGGCATCCTGACGCTTGTTTTTTTTTCGGGCCCCTGGATCCTGGCCCCCTACCGCGCGCTTCCTTGTTTTGCCCTCCGGGGGTCCGAAGGCCCAGGGTCTCCGCGGCAGCGCGCTGGCTGCCCGAACGCGAACTGGTCTAGATTCCAAAGCGCGCCGGCCTCGAATGCGTCGCCCCCTCGAGGAATGCGCATGACAGGGCGCGCGCTGGCCAGCTGTAGTGGCGAGTCCCCGCGGGGAAGAAACGAGCTCTGTCACTGGCTCGAGTTCTAGCGGGGGCTTGCTCTGGTGCGGTCTCTGCGGGAGGCGGCCGTCGGGCGGCCCTTGCAGGGCCTTCGGTTCGGCGGGCAGAACGCAGAGCGGCGCGTGAACGTTCGACGCCGCAGAGGGTGGATCGCTCTGGCGCCCGGTCGCACTGCGGCCTTCGTCTCTCCGCGCAGCGCGCCCTTGCCCGTGATATCTTCTTTGTTTTTCTACCGCCGCTTCCGGCCCCTCCCCCCCTGTCGCGAGACCGCCCCTGCTCTTTCAATAGGGGGTCTGAAGGAGGTGCGCTGCATGTTAGAATCGCCCGCCCCCCCTCATGGCGCCCGGCGGCTCTCCGCGCTTGGGCGGGAGGGCGGGTCACGGACGCACGCGTAAGGAATGTCGATAGGGGCTGCCTGTTCGGCTCCGAGAATTGTCGAGATAGCCTAACACACTATATCGCATGCCGCCGGTGTCCCTGGAATGTTGCCATGACCTCCCGCTCGAATCTCCCTGCCCCCTATTCCCGGGTGTTTCGCTTTGGTCCGCTGCTCTCTGGGTCGCCTCCGTCAGGTGGTCATTCTGCATCACTCCCATCGCCCTTCCACGCTCGAAGCAGGAAGCGCGGTGCTGGCGTCGCGCCAGGCCTTGTTGACCCCCTCGAGATCACGAGAGCCGCCTGCCTTGCCGCGGATTTCCCGATGGGCAGACGGCGGCGTCCTCAGCGATTGAAGGGCCTTAGGTCGTAATGATAGACGGAGTCTGACGGACTCTCCGCCTCCTCCTCTTCCGACACCTCTTCCTTTTCTTCCCTTCCTTCTTCCTGTTCTTTCCGGCGCTTTTCTTCCTTCTTCATCCTCCTGCTCGTCCACGCGCCCCCCCCCCTTGCCGCCCCGACCGCATTTCCCTGCTGCCCCTCCTCGCGCTCCTACCCCCCCTCCTCCTCCCTCTCCTTCTGGGGCGGCGGGGGGGTCTCTCGAGGCTGGGGGGGCGCGTGGTCCAGTCTCCGCGACCGCGCGCGCAGCGGCGGCCCCGTCGCGCGCGCGCAATCACGAAAAGGCGGCGTGCGCAACATGGGGAGATAGCGTCAGCACTGTTCAGCTTTAAGCTTCTCTCTTTCCCCTAACCTCCGAGTCTCCGACCTCGGGCATTCTCGCCCACCTGCTTTTCTCGCTTGAACTCTTGGGGCAGGCGCATCTGGACACTGCCGCGGCAGCCCAGTTGTCGACTCAGAAGAAGAAGCCCCGATGGCAAACTTTGTTCGCGGCCGCCCTGCGCGATCAAGCTTTGAAGGGCGGCGCGCTTGCTCTCGCCGCTCGTCGCGTCCGCCCCTGCTTCCCCATCCCCCGCCCCCTCCCGTTCCGTCTCTCGCAGACTGGTGGAGACAGCTCCGCGCAACGCTGGCGTCGGAGCTTCCCTTCCGCGCATGGCACCATAGAAAGACACCCGCTGGTGCCCGGATCTCAAGCAATTAACCTCTCCAAACTATCTTCCAGGCCTCTTGCAGGCCCGGCCGTCAGGAACCTGATTCGATCGCTCACGACCAAGCCCCCGACTCTTCAGGCGGCGGCCAACCTTCAACGCTTCCACCAGCCTTCCGCCTGCCATCGCCGAGAGTACGCTCTTTTCTTCCGTCGGCCGCCGCGCGGCCTGCCGCCGCCTCTCCCTTAAATAGGCATATGCCGCGAACGAGTCCCGTGGATGCGGAAAGGTGGTAAAGATAATGTATTGTTGTTATGATTGGTGTGCCTTGCAGCCACCATACATGTCCGCAGGGCGCCCTTTTCAGGTTCGACGGGATAGAGCATCTTATCGCTTTCATGTCCCGCCAGGGGCAGTCAGAACCTTCAGTTCCCCCCTCCCCCCGACCGTCCCCTGTCCCGTCTTGGCTTGGGGGCCGGGGCTGGCTATTCAGCGTTGACGGACGGCCGCTGAAGGTGCCATCGTCGCCATGTTTTCGCTTGCCACAGATACCACAAGTTTCGAACACTTCTAGGCCAGCAAGAGGTCGTCTCCCAACATATGTTCCTGCAGGCCTCCGGCACCGCAGGTGTTGCCCTTCATATCTAACCGCCCATTCATGGCGACGTGCGTTCCTCCCCCTCCTCCCCTCCTCCCCCATTTTGTTTTCTCGTCGTCCTGCTGGTGGTCATCCTCCCCCTCCTCCGTATTTGCTCTCGAGATTGTTCCCCGGCCTGTTATAATTCGCGGTCACATGATTATTGTGATGTTCTGCTTAATTTTCTTCCATGCAGTCACCGCTTCTGTTGCTGCTACTGAAGTTCCGACCTGCTCTTGCCATGGTTCATGGTCGTGGTCGCGTTCGTGCTTGTCTTCTTGTTATGCCCGTTTCCCCCCCTCTTCCGTCGTGCCTCTTTGGAGGCAGGTCAGTCCAGGCTCCATGTCCGATGCTCCTCCCCAGCCCTCCCCGCCAAACTATCCTCGTCAGTTACCTCCTGCACCCCCTTTTAGGAGTATGAGTAGGATCTGAGGAAGGCATCATAGCGTGGAACAGATGCCCAAAGGGCCTGTCGTGGCATTCCGTGTTCTCTCAGTGGCGGGGAGGGGCCATGAAGGATTTCTGCAGTCCGA